GTTTTTAAGGGAGGTAAGACATAGCTGGAATCTCTACCATTTTCCTTACTTTTTGATTCAGCTTAATTAGTCCACAGTTTTTTGTAATAGTCATCACAAGCAATGGTTTGTGTGTGAGAGGGTGTGTGTGTGTGTGTTTTGTTGTTGTTGTTGTTGTTTTTTGTTTTTAATAATTTTTTCAGGATTATCAATTCGTTTAGCGATGATATAAAATACTTTCCATGATCCAGAAAACAGTATCTGTTTCATAAACGTTTTATATTTAAATACTAAGGTATAATATTAGCCAGGATTAGTCAGCATATATGATGTTTGTTTTTTTTTTTGTTTTTTTTTTTTTTTTGTTTTTTTTTTTTTTTTTTTGAATTTTAAAAAGTAAGCAGTATGAAATGTTTTTTTCTCCGATGAAAGCATTTTTATAATCCAATTAACTTACCTTCTCCTTACGTCCTCTAGAAAAAATAAAAAACCCTATATATATATATACGTTTTTCCGATAAAGAAATGCATGCATAATCATGAGACAAGGAAATTATTTGATAAATTGTCACACCATGAACAAGGAATTTTTTCGTAGTAATTCAATTCAAAGGTAGAAAAACCTTTGTTCTCTCTGACCCTAGCAATTGTGTAGCAAATTATCAAGGTAATAATTAAAAACGATTATAGTTGTTTTTTTTTTTCCTGGAAGAAATATGTATCTGCGTAAAAAAAATCCTAGTCATATTTTTAAAAAACGTTTATGAATCTTACTTAATCTTAAGACCCCCTCCTTACTTTAAATTATTACCAACTTTATTAATGGAATCTTAATACACTGAAACAAATTTGTGAGCAATTAAACTGTGTCAATTATTTTTTACCTCGACCTTCCCTATGACCTTGCACTTAACTTTCAACTTTAAAAGCCCTAATGTTTCTTTTAATCCATCTAACTCCGATTACATAGAGCACCCCCCCCCCTTCCCCAAAGTCGCAGTCATTTAAACTTTCCGCAGAGAAAGTGCACTGGAAAACTGTTTCTTATCATTGTCTTCTACGATAATTGATCTACACAACAATATTTGGCATGCTTGTCTTTTTCTTTTATCTCCATAAACAGCGTCAAAACTCTGTTCGCCGCGACGGGAAAATTTTTCTCACACCTTAAAATTGCACTTAATCTCTGGCGGAATATGTTTTTGGAATTTGATTGGCTAAAAATCTGTTTCTAACATTACATCTGGAAAATATCGTAATGTTTTATGGGAAAAAAACGTAAACAAATATTATTTATTCCAGAGACATAAATAAAGATTGAAAAGACATCTTATGTCTTTATCCTTGACAATTCCATGTCAAGGACAGTAACCATGTCTAATGGTTAAGTACTGCGTGACCGAGTGTGCGCGTGTAGGCAGTAGGGTGCACTACTCACATTCCGGGTGGACCCCTACCCTCTCCTGTTGGTGGTCAAAAGGTGGTGTTTTTATGTCTCTGTTTATTCACTGCAATATTTATAAACATTGCAGTTGAATTTTATACCCACGCATATTTAAATTTGCTCTCTGCCCGAAATTAGTTCAATTTTAAAAACAACATACAATCAATCAATCAAAGGTATTTGTAATATTGTAAATATTTTTAAATAATTTAATTTTGTTTATTCTAGCCCCTGATTGGTTAATATCCAAAAAGAAACAAATTATTTCTGTATAACCTGGTTTGGTATGGGGACACACACCACTGACAACCAGCTGAATCATCTGTATCCATACAATCCTCTCATTTCCAGTCCTCGGGATTCATGGAAAATTCCAGATTTAATAAATGTACCTTTAACTTAACAATAATTCGATCTTACCACATGTAAACAAACAACAAGGCTGCCGCTAGGCCTATGCATCAGTTTTTACCTCCCCTCGCTTCCCATCACTTCCGTTACTACGGTTGTATTATTGAGCGGCAAATTTGAACTAATAAAAAGCAACGAAAGTTTACACCCTTAGTTAATTAATGATTTTAAAATTAAATTATAAGAAATGACTCTAATTCTTGGCCAAATTATTCGAGTATAATCTGGTTTGGGTCAGTTTACTCTGTTTTATAATCCGCTTCGCGGATTATAAAGCGTAAACTGACCCAAACCAGGTTATACTCGAATATTTACATTTGCTGTGTTTTTCTACTAAGCCAACTGTAAAATTGATTTGAAAGTCATTTTTGTGTATACTCACGCGTAGAAATATACACGGTGAAACTCGCGCTAAAGTGACGTCACAATGAGGCTACAGAGACGTTAATAAAAATGTAACGATATAGGGCAGCAAGAAATTCAAATACTGAGTATATTATTGGTGCTTTTAAACTTGTAAAATGTAAATATAAGGAATGTTTTTAAGTTTAGTGTGAATTATTGGTGTGTAAATCACACAGACTTGCACGTAGGCATATTTTTCATCAAGCGCTAGCGCGCTTCATGAAATATGCCTACGTGACAAGTCTGTGTGATTTACACACCAATAACTCACACAAAACTTAAAAACATTCCTTAAATAATTTGGCCAAGAATTAGAGTCATTCCTAAATTAAGCTCAAATAATACAACCACTAGATAATGACCTCGATAAGTACTAGTAGTACTAGTGAGTACAGACGGAATTAAAGCAGGAATCACATTTACGCAGCTCTTTGCATACAAGAATATATATTTACATTTGCAATGCTTTTCTACTAAGCCAACTGTGAAATTTATTTGAAATTCATTTTCGTGTATACTCACGCGTAGAAATATGCACGGAGAAACTCGCGCTAAAGTGACGTCACAATGAGCTACGGAGACGTTCATAAAAATGTAACAATATAGGGAATAATTCAAACATTTTTGGTGCTTTAGAACATGTAAAATGTAAATATAAGGAATTTCTTTAAGTTTTGTATGAGTTATTGGTGTGTAAATCACACAGACTTGCCACGTAGGCATAAATCATGAAGCGCGCTAAATAATTATGTATCGAGTAACACCTTGAAGAAAATGTGCTAATGTTATATGTAACTGAGCTATATATAGTTCCGCTTAACTGCTGCGTTTTAATTATATAATTATAATTATATAGAATTTACTAAATGTATTTGCTTTCTCATTAGATTATCAAGAATAATCATGCATATAAGACAGGCTCGTAGGAAGCAATTTCAGTTGGGGGGGGGGGGGGGCACAGCCATACATTTTTAGTTGGGGGGCACTATCAACTACCGAAAATTCCTTGACAAGCAAAAAAAAAAAGGTCACACGTTTTTATTTAGGGGGCAAAAGCATATAGTAGCAATTTTTCTATAGTAATCTATACATCGGCAAAATTATGGGGGCACGCCCCCCCCCCCCCGGTTCCTACGGCCATGTAAGATATGTAATTGAACGAAAATACAATACCTCCAGTCAATTTCCTATAAATAAAAAATAAAACGGTGTTTAAAAATGCGAGAATTTGAAACTATAGAAATATCTAAAAGTGGCGCCAGATGGATATTCAGAGCATTACTTCTCCGGAATAGAACAGTCCACTTGTTTCACTTTTTACATTACAAATCAAGAAATACTTCCGGGAAAAATATATCGTTGAAAATACAAGGTAAGGTTAGCTTTTTAAAATAAAAGCTGAGAGTCAGCCACTGGAATACAGAAAGTTTCTTTCTTGGTTTGTGATGGTATATGATTTGTTTTATCCATCCTGTTGTGTTCATTAAAAGTCATTGTCGTCTAAGTTAAAATTCGCCCAGTCGTTTTCTTATTTGTAACATAATTCTGTACATAATAAATAATAAAGCATAGTTAAACTACATCGTGATCATTATGATGACCTCCAATTAATTTCTCTTGGGCGCGGACATCAGATAAAGTTCGTCTCAGAAATGAACAAAGCCACTATGATCCCAATCATTGAACGTGTAAGAATGTATACATTTTCATTTTTACTGTTAAATTCTATAAATAATATAGATTATGATGCTGAAAAGGAAGGTAGACCTTGGGTTAGATTGTGTTAATTATTATTAGATAAAAGTTTTTTAATCGTGCAGGTTCGAGGCAATGCATGATAGGGGAAGGGGGAGGGTGCATACTGTATGTATATTTAATTCAATTTCTAAATTTAAGCATCCATTTTAGTGTTATTAGGAAAGAAAATAATTGCTTCCAAAATAAAGTAATAAACTGGAGATTCAAAATATTTTATACATACAGTACGTATACCCTAAAAGATACTGGATTCCATCTCGCTCACTCTCTCTAATTGGGGGGGGGGGGCTGTCTATAAATCTGCGCAGTTTCTCTCAACTATCACAGTTCTACTGTGGTCAGTTTCTCACCTGTGGGCGCGGTTCACGTGCACAAGCGGCACTTACATGTACATGTCTATCATCGTGTAAATTACAAGCGGCACTTACATGTACATGTCTATCATCGTGTAAATTATAAGAATTTACACATCTTAAGTGATATTCTGACGTTTTCATAACTTTCATCATTAAGTAAAGAGATTCTTTTTTTTTCACTGTCTTGGGACCTTTGTGCAAGTGGATTATTGTGTGAATTCCGACCCGTACCTGTCTTATGCAAGGTATTGATCGAGGGAGTCTTGCATCAGGCATTCAGAGGAATACACACAAATCCTTGAACTTGCAACGGCGATTGAGGGTATATATCAAGTGTTAAATGTGCTCTGCATATAAACTTCTCATCTTCTATAAGAAGCACTGAAATATTTTCATAGTATCATATTTCCCACTTAGAACAATCTCTTCTTTAATTTTTCGTCGAGAACGACGAAGAACAATGCAGTCTATAAATAGATCGAGGTCGCGTCTTTGTTTAGAGGGTGTTTGTGAAGAATCACGCCCTTTGGTTGGAGCAAATAGCACGAGTTTCTTTAGAACAAGTCGTGTACATCTTTTTCCCAGAATTCCAAATTATGCAAGCGTACTTGCAGTTTTATCCCACCGTAACTAGTCAGCCCGCAGGCTGACTAATAACAAGCTGAAGCTGAAGGGCACTATCAAAGAGTCAGTAATGTAATCACTGATAAGCTGCTGAGTAAGTTTGAATATATTTTTATTCAGAAGTTATGATATGTGAATTGGCTGAAAGTTTTCCTATTGAGTAAAGAAGCTTGCACAGGAAATTGTTTTATAAATATGGGTCACCCCTTCTTCAGGTTGGGCACAGTTCCTTTTTTCAGTAACTGTTACGCTAAAGGGAATTGTTCCTCTTTTCAGTAATAAAAACATTACTGTATATGGAAATTTTCACTCATTTACCCTCTTTTCTCGTGTTTGCTTTGAATATTTTCACATCCTCTAAATATTTATAGTCTATTATAAGTGTGTATATCCTTAAAACTACAATATTTATTGCTGCAAAAAGCTGAAAAAGAGTGATGAAATATTTCTACGATATAGATTTCTTATAATCTCGGTGGAGATTCGGCTGGGCTAGATATTTGGACTGACGCCCACCGAATCTCGGGACAGTCCTTCATAATTCATGTCTGGGAATTCAGCCCCAACTTCGGCTGGCTATATCAAGAATTATTCACCTAGGCGACACTGTCGTTTGCTTCAATTAAGTCATTTAGTTGGTTAATTAATTGTCACTATTATTTTCACATTGCTAACCGTCTAGGCATGTAAATCCCACCATAAAAACATTCACTAAAATCTCCGTTCAAAATATGGCTCCCCTGACGTAATTGTTTATCTCCTCGCACTAAAGAGTTCCTACAGTCTGTTTTCTTTTATGTGATACTGAACCTCTACTGTGGCTTTTTAGTATTTTTCATAGAAATAAAAACAGACCATAGAGGAACTCTTTAGTGCGAGGAGATAAACAATTACGTCAGGGGAGCCATATTTTGAACGGAGATTTTAGTGAATGTTTTTATGGTGGGATTTTCATGCCTAGACGGCAAGCAATGTGAAAATAATAGTGACAGAGAGTTAAATAAACAACTAAATGACTTAATTGAAGCGAACGACAGTGTCGCCTAGGTGAATAATTCTTGATATAGCCGGCCGAAGTTGGGGCTGAATTCCCAGACATGAATTACGAAGGACTGTCCCGAGATTCGGTGGGCGTCAGTCCAAATATCTAGCCCAGCCGAATCTCCACCGAGATTAGATTTCTTACAGAAGCTTTTCTGTGTTAAAATTGTGAGATTGAATACGTTCAGCAATTGCTAATTCGTTCATGAAATTATTCATTCTAATAAATTTTTATAATCATTTCTTTCAAAGACATTGTAAAAATAATTTTTAATACCACTGCTTCTTTTACAGATGCAAATAATTAGATGAAATATTAAATTTCTGAATCAAAAGATAGTCATTCAAAGATGGTTTGAGAATGAATACCCTTGAAAGATTCCAGGGTTTGACACTAACGGTGGACCAGCGGCCCGAGTCTACCAAAAAATTGGAAGGTCCACCAAATGTTCAGGACCAGGTGGACCATCGGTCCACTTAAAAATTTAGCACTGTATGAAAAACACAGTAAAATTCGGTTTTCTTTTTCTTTAAATCGACATCCCTAAATCAAACGATTAATTCATCCATACTTGTATTTTACAAGAAATAAATATCAAATTTGTTTTAGGTATTAAAGCAGGGGAACCTAGTGACAATGTATATTTTACGTGTAATATTGATGACTACAATAACATTGAGACGCAAGAACATTCAACAAGGACCTTGAAAAAGAAGCATGTAAAATTAGTGCCAAGTTAGCCAGTCTGTCCTTTCTTTACTTAATGCACAGAAAGGTGTGAAAATGTACACTAGGTAACACTAACAGGAAACCACTTCACGCCTGAACACACACTGATGGCCAGGTTTCGAGATAATTAGAATTGATTGACAGCTGCATTTATGCATTGTTTATTTTTCATATAGATGTTCAAATAGGCGTAATTTATATTTTATTAATACGTTGTCTGCAGTTTCTGTTTTTTCTGCTTTACTTTATATCACATATTAAAAGAATCATATGATCACAGTTTATTTGAATAAATAATAATAAAAAAATTAATAAATACATATACTTTTGTCAGTTTTGCATCATAGTAAAAAAAATGTTCTAGCCATAGATACATGAAAAATTCACTTGTTTATAGATATATGTTTATTCACCAATCAAGGGCGCTCAGGGGGCTTATACAATTGTTTCAGAATGATCACATATAAATAATATTAAAGAATATTGTAATATGAAAGAATATAAATCATATCTTAGTTAATTTATTAGGATTTTAAATTTTATCTACCTTTGGAAGCGAATTAAATGCAGGTTTTTACCATTGTAAATAAATGGTATTAAAATAACAAATTCGTTTGAAGATGTAGGTTTTTTTTAATATTAGAAATATGTTCAACAAAATTGCTGATTGAGAAAAACTCCTGACTAATCGATTTGTTTCTGCTGATTCAGATTGGTTAAACTTGTACTTTATTAATCTGACTGGACTGGGTGCATAAGTTAATTTCAAGCCTTCATCCCTTGTATATTAATTCATTCATTAATTCACACATTTATTAAGGTCCATCAGAATTTGAGAAGGTCCACCAATTATTTTTGACAAGTGGACCTGCGGTCCACCAAGGTAAATAAGTTAGTATCGAACCCTGGATTCCATACTTTTCGTATCATTTATCAACAGGGAAAATTTATTAAGTAGAAGTCGTGGATTACTGCTGCACATTTCATGTTCAAAAGATGTCACCTCAACGAAACCAAGCTATGAAATTTTCCGTTTTTGAACTAGTAATAATACACTTATAAGGGAAATATTCACATCCGTTGGAAGAATACTCATGATGTCGTACGATTAAATCTCATCTTACTCCCATCTGCAGCACTAAAGGACCGGAATTTTTTGTCAGCGAGGTTGGTTTAATAAAGTTTAAACGCATCACATCATATTTTTCATGCACTTTTTATTTAATACATGGATTTGGGGCATTATTTTAAAAATATAACGAAAATTCCCGTATACAGTAATGTTTTTTATTACTGAAAAGAGGAACAATTCCCTTTTAGGGTAACAGTTACTGAAAAAAAGGAACTGTGCCCAACCTGTTCTTTTCTTTCCACAAGGTACCTAACTCATAGGCACTTGGTTTCAGTATAGTGTAATTTGTGTATTATGTGTTTAACTATTTCTAGGTATGTCTGAATACACACATTAAAATAAAAATCAAAAATCGCTGAAATTAGAACGTTTTAAAAATATCAGAAAGAGTAGGTTAGGTATGACAGTTTCAGGAGTGCCTTGGTTCACACTTGATCTACACTTTTCCTACCGGTGTCGGTGCTTGAAAATGCTTGAATAATGCCTTTCAATCATCTGCCAATTTGAACTTGCCGTATAAAACATGCAGTAAACCAAAATGGCCTCGATACCTAGCACTGAACAGGTCTGGTACAATCACTAGATTTACCTACATAGCTTGAATTACCTACATGGCTTTATTTACCCACCTGAAGTAGCTTTATTTAGCTACCAAATCAAACTAATTTCTTATATTAACATTTTTTTCTTGAGATGTGCAGAAAATCACTTTGATGCAGTGATAATTTTCAACTTTAAACTCATCTGAAAATACGCTTGAAAATTTCGATATATATTTAATTGCTGTGATAAAATTCATAAATCTATTTCAAAATTAAGGATTATCTCCCTCATTCATAGCTCTGATCATTCAATGTATTTTGCTGCAGTCTTTGGCACCCCCCTTTTATCAGCTCTTCAAAGTTTTTTATTTAAATATTTTGGATTTCCAACATTTCAACAGGAGCATCACTGAAAAGACATAATTTGTCAAAATGTGCATCTGGTGCACCAAAATTGGTACAATATATGATTTATTGAAAACAATTCATGAAAAAATCACTCTTAAAAATGTGTCTTTCTGCGCAATTGCAATCAAAGTTCTGAAAGTTTTGGAGCCTGTATACAACAGTTAGTTTGTGAACAAACAGTTACTTCTTTAATTAAATTATGATTAACATGATAATTGATTGGTAATTATTCAGCACAATGTGAATTTATCATACTTAACCATGCCTCACCGCAGACAAAGTGGTATACAATTAATCAATGAAAATACATCTTTTGCTTAAAGGTGTTTAAATGCAGCAATGTATAAACTATATCTGCTTTGGATTGCTTTTTTAGCTCACCTGAGCCGAAGGCTCAAGTGAGCTTTTCTGATCAAAATTTGTCCGTTGTCTGTCGGCGGCGGCGGCGTTGTTGTCGTTGTCGTTGTAAACTTTTCACAATTTCATCTTCTTCTCCAGAACTACTGGGCCAATTTCAACCAAACTTGGCACAGAGTATCCTTGGGTGAATGGGGTTCAAGTTTGTTCAAATGAAGGGCCACGCCTTCTTCCAAGGGGAGATAATCATGAATTCATGAAAAATTAATGGCATCATTTAAAAATCTTCTTCTCAAGAACCACTGTGCTTGAAAATATGAAACTTATATGGAAGCATCCTCAGGTAGTGTAGATTCAAATTTGTTCAAATCATGACCCCCGGGGGTAGGGTGGGGCCACAATGGGCGATCAAAGTTTTACATAGAAATATATTGGAAAATTCTTTAAAAATCTTCTTCTCCAGAACAGCAAAGCCATGATTGGTCATATTTATATGGAAGCATCCTCAGGTAGTGTAGATTCAAATTTGTTCAAATCATGACCCCCGGAGGTAGGGTGGGGCCACAATGGACGATCAAAGCTTTACATGGGAATATATAGGAAAACTCTTTAAAAATCTTCTTCTCAAGAACAGCAAAGCCATGATTGGACATATTTATATGGAAGCATCCTCAGGTAGTGTAGATTCAAGTTTGTTCAAATCATGACCCCAGTGGGTAGGGTGGGGCCACAATGGGCGATCAAAGTTTTACATAGAAATATATAGGAAAACTCTTTAAAAATCTTCTTCTCAAGAACAGCAAAGCCATGATTGGTCATATTTATATGGAAGCATCCTCAGGTAGTGTAGATTCAAGTTTGTTCCAATCATGACCCCCGGGGATAGGATGGGGCCACAATGGGCGATCAAAGTTTTACATAGGAATATATAGGAAAGCTCTTTAAAAATCTTCTTCTCAAGAACAGCAAAGCCATGATTGGTCTTATTTATATGGAAGCATCCTCAGATAGTGTAGATTCAATTTTGATCAAATCATGACCCCCGGGGGGTAGGGTGGGGCCACAATGGGTGATCCAAATTTTAAATAAGAATACATAGGAAAAATCTGTAAAAATCTTTTTCACAAGAACAACAAAGCCATGATTGGTCATATTTTCATGGAAGCATCCTCAAGTAGTGCAGGTTCAAGTTTGTTCAAACATGACCCCCGGGGGTAGGGTGGGGCCACAATGGGCGATCAAAGTTTTACATAGGAATATATAGGAAAATTGTTTAAAAATCTTCTTCTCAAGAACAGCAAAGCCATGAATGGTTATATTTATATGGAAGCATCCTCAGGTAGTGTAGATTCAAGTTTGTTCCAATCATGACCCCCGGGGGTAGGGTGGGGCCACAATGGGCGATCCAAATTTTAAATAAGAATACATAGGAAAAATCTGTAAAAATCTTTTTCACAAGAACAACAAAGCCATGATTGGTCATATTTACATGGAAGCATCCTCAAGTAGTGTAGATTCAAGTTTGTTCAAATCATGACCCCCTGGGGTCGGGTGGGGCCACAATGGGCGATCAAAGTTTTGCGTAGGAACACATAGTAAAAACCTTTAAAAAAAACTGTTTCTTAAGAACAGCAAAGCCATAATTGGTCATATTTATATGGAAGCATTCTTAGATAGTGTACATTCAAGTTTGTTCAAACATGACCCCTGGAGGTCGAGTGGGGCCACAATGGGTGATCAAAGTTTTACATAGGAATACGTAGGTTAAATCTTTAAAAATCTTCTACTCAAGAACTGCAAAGCCATGATTGGTCATATTTAAATGAAAGCATCCTCAGATAATGTAGATTCAAATTTGTTCAATTCATGACCCCCCCCCCTCCCCCCTGCACCACTTTTATATTAAACTTTTCAACCTTTCAAGACTGAACTGATTTCTGCTTTTTCCTAGCCATAGTGCTCAGGTGAGCGATGTGGCCCCTGGGCCTCTTGTTAAAAATCCTGAGTGTAAATATATGAAGTCATATACTTGTAATTTTTTGTGTTTTTGAAATAAAAAGCAAAATTGTGAAAAGTTGCATGGAAATAGCTAAATAAAGCTACCTGAGGCAGCTAAATAATGCTGCTGTAGGTAATTCTAGCTATGTAGCTAAATGTACTAATTGTACTGGACCTGCTGAAACTGAAAGCAACTGAAGTGACAATTACTGACTATGTAAAATGTAGAGGCATCCCAGATAAACATGGAAAGTCTAGAGAGAACAAGGGGGGGGGGGGGGGGGGAATGACCTACAGTTTTAAAATAGGAGTAGGATAAAACATACTTATAAGGAAGTGCTTTCAGCTCAGGTGAGCTAATAAAAAATTGAAGGTCAGGACATAGACACATTTGTATTGCTAATGTGCTAAAAAAAAATTTCAGTATAATGTCTGTTGAATTGAACTTAACTCTTAAATTCTTAATATTCAATAACAACAACATTCTTTATAATAATCTAACAACAAACACAAGCTCTAGCTCACAGTTATTGTAAGTACAGAACATTTTAGCAGAATTTCTAAAGGTATGAATGGACAAGCAATTCAGCTAAACTTTAGTGGACTTATAAGAAAACCTGTAAAAATTCATTGTACATTTTAGCACTTTTTAGCTAGCCCAATTTTAGCAAATTTTTTTTTTCAGAGATAATTTAAATTCTTTTTTAAACAATCAATGTAAAGTCAGCAGTATTCAGCAGATGAATGACTGTTTTCAACTACATACTAAGTGGAGGTTTAGATAGTAAAGGTCAGAAATTTTCAACTGAATAAAACTCACAAACACGTTTTTAATGTAATTACTTGTGTAACAGGAAAGGACCCAAACCATTACACTTGTATATATATTCATTTGTAATTACGACGCTGAACAGTAAGGAAGTTGGTGGAGACATAAATCAATTGAGGAGAAGAGAGTATCATATGTGGAAGATTTCAGTATACAGTTGATGGAGTACTATAATCTGTTGATGTTCTTGTAAATGCTCTGTAAAACACTCCAAAACTCATATCTGTAATACATGTAATAGTTTCAGGCAGTAATTGAATTAACTACATGTATAGCCTTCTCAAAATCCTATTGTTACCTTCCCCTTGGTGGGCATGGGGAAGCAGACTAGTCTAGCTAATAGAAAAGGAATGTGTATATTTTACTTAAGCCTCTTGCTAAAATGTCCACATCCTATTTAAATTCTGCTAAAATGTCCACAAAAAATGCATTAAAACATCAATTTTTTCTGCAAAAACATCCTGTCAATCTGGTTAAATGTCCGAT